GGGATGTCCATTGCCAGCTGCCCAAAACAAAAGGCTCGGCATCGACTTCTCGATTTTTTTTTGTTTAAACGCAGACTTCGCATACCACACGCCCTACTCAGTACCCTCCTTAGCACACCTGTATGGCCCAAATTGCGTCGTTTTCCTCGGAACATCAATGACAGTTTTATGTCACATCACCATGTGCTTTTAACTTCGTTGACGGTCGGAAGACTGGCTGCCCTCGACACCGCGCTGATATCTGGTGGGAACGAAACCAGAGGGCGGCCGCGTTTTTTTCGCTGCTGGGGCACTGCGGCGCCACCAAGAGAGATCGTTTGAGGCTGCACGCTGTTGGAGTCAGCTGGTGACCGGGGAGTGGGTGCCAAGGCATTGCTGCTGTCGGCCGCTTACTCCCCGGGCCGTGCTGGGAGGCATACCGGCTGGTGGAGCTGCCGCGCCGCTGGGGCTCGGTTCGGGCCGCGTAGGGGTGGAAACCGGAGTGGCAGCGCAGCCGTGCTCCTGCCTCGCCGCGCTTGTGTCGTGACATGTCAAGGCTCGACGGCCTGCTTGGTCTTAGCCAGCTGGGGGAGCTCGTCGGCGGCGCGGGCGTGTACACAAGCCCAGGCGGGAATATGTGTTGCATCCGACCACTGCGGGTCGAGTATGAATGAACTGCTAGAGGTGGTGAGCGCCAACGGCACCCCCGCATGAAGCTGCGCAGTCGTGCGTCGTAGGCGATGTTGGGATGCTCTGCGTGGGGTCGGAAGGCATTTTTGTCTTTTGTGTAGGCAATGGTAAAAGGAAAACCGATGAGATGTGTACGCTGTAGGTTTGTGTGATATTCCATCACCTTATCCAATAGCACAGTGCGTAATGGGAAAGGCACGGATACACAGGGGCATGAGAACAAGGGCTGTGCGTCTTGCTACCGATTGATGAGGTTGTATGGCACTGGGCTCTGCACGCGGCATCGCTATGTCACACAACAGAACGCGTTTGATAGCTGCCACCCCGGACTGGTGGGGACTGCGGTCACTGATTAGTGGAGTTTCAGCAGCTCCTTGGTAAAAGCATACTATCGTTAAGGGGCGTACGGATCATCGATGGAACACCGGAGTACCCACAGCTGCAAACGGCATATAGCTTACAGCAAGCGCATTGGAGGTTAGCTGTCGACGATTTCAAGGCGCCAGAATGAGGACCGAGGTTAAAGAAAGGGATTTGTTGAAGAATGAAACAGTCCCAGCTTCATCACTGTTGTAACATACAACTGAAACTTAATCGGTGCTGCCGGTAGCCTCTTCGTCATGGTATACATGGATAAAGTGCAGTGTAAGGTCAAGTGACCGGTGTGGAATATTGAGGAATGACTGCATCGGGAACGGTTTGTTGTCATTACAACACAATACGTTCAACACGCTGTCGACAGTTGTTCTGAGGAGTAGCAGGTCACACGCATCGGTGGGTCGCATCGTATGCAGCTGAGAGTAACAGCGCTCGACTTAGACGCTCAGGCTGGAGCTCCCGACTGTCGCCACGTCCGGCGGCGCCGCGCTCCGGTGGGGTCGGGCCCGGCCCTGGTGGGTACCGACCGGCGGCGGCACGCTCCGGTGGGGTCGGGCCCGGCCCTAGCCGCGCTCCGGTGGGGTCGGGCCCGGCCCTGATGGGTACCGGCCGGCGGCGGCGCGCTCCGGTGGGGTCGGGACGGTTCTGGGAAGCGGGAGGGGTTGGGGGAGGATCGGTCGGCGGCGGCGCGCCGCGCTCCGCGCTCCGTTGGGGTCGGGTCCGGCCCTGGTGGGGACCGGCCGGGGGCAGCGCGCTTTGCGTTAAGCTGCGGGCCATGTCATGGTCGCCGGACAACGGACACCGGCCACCCGGCCACCGGATACCAGTCATGCTGGTTCCTCGCCCGGGAGAGGGTAGCAGGTGTAGGGTTTCGGCGATTAGTGACGCGGTCGATAATGGCCGACCGCTTCTCTCGATGTGGTGTCCCTGGTGGTGCCCTTAGGTGCAGACGCTTGCGCTCGTAGAGAATGCGTATAAGTTCAAATGCGTAGAGTCGCAAGAGCCTTGTGGAGAAGATCGCGCGATTCTTTTCGTGATCATCGAATGCCGCTAGAAAGTATTCCTTTTGTCTCTTAGTTATTCTTTATTTTAACTCAGCTGCTCCCGCTTGACGAGTTCGAAACAGGACGTCCACCGTTCAGTGCAGTTGAGTTTGTCGTCCTGCGGCACCGGACCTGGCTTTGTAAAAAATTCACTTGACTGGCAAATATTTGGTATCAATTTGATTTGCTACAAAGCTCGTGAGCCGTTTAGCGGACGTAATCGCGATCGTTCACGGCGCAGGCACATGTGTGGTGGCCCCACTGTACCGGCGAGGGTAAAAGATGGAAGGAGCGATCTGTGCCGCTCATCCACGGTCGTGTCGTCTCCACATAGCGGTCGGCTCTCCTCCGCCGGTGCCCACTGACCGCCATTGTTCCGCCCGACCCGTTCGCCGGCCCGATGCATGCAAGAATGCGCCGGTGGCACGTGGGTCCTGAGGGGTGGCGGGCGACGTCTGGCGGGGCTGCTCAGACGTTTTCGCCGCCGCCGCCGCCGCCACAAGGTCGCCGGCCGGGCGCGGTCACGTGATCGGGGCCGGCGCGGTGCTGCCGCCTGGCGGCCGGCCGGCGAACAGCACTGCCTCTCGGCCCGGTCGTCAGTGGCTCGGCCAACATGGTCGCGGCGGTGTGCGCGCAATGTGCCGACCAGTGAGCGTGGCCCAGTGTACCGGTCGACATGGAGAGCGCTCGCGGCGGCGGTGACCGCGCCAATGGCGTGCCCTCGTCCCGCAGCCTGTCGCGCGAGCGGCAGGCGCGCGGGCGCGGCGGCCAGAACCGTAAGTGCTGCGGCGCCGCTGGGCGCTGGACCCAGCTGGAATGCGGCCGGTGCTGGTACACAGCGCTGGAGGCGCGGGCGCTGGCCGGTCCTGGCTGAGCGGGGGGAGGGGGGAGGGGGACGAGTGCGCCGCCCGGTCGGCCGGCGGGCCGCGTGCCGCGCGACCCCGGCCACTGCGTGGGCGGTGCGGACGGACAGCTGCTCCCACGGCCTTGAGGCCAGACGGCGCGACCTGTTTTCGGGAGAGGACCCGATCGATAAATACCGCCGGGCCGAGCGACGGACGGGTTGCCGCGGCGGCGGCGCTGGCCCCTCCGAGCCTGTTGTGCAGTTGGCGAGCGGTCGGCGCCGGCCGTCGCCAGAAATAGTTGGCCGGCGAGCCCGTCCGCGCGGCTATTTTTACCGGGCGGCGATGCTGGAGAGACGCCGGCGATTCCGGGTGAGGTGACCGGGCTGGTCCGCTTTCTACCGGCGCCGGCGGGCCGGCCGGCGAAGCTTTCGTTGCCCCCGCCCGGCCGGATGCGCGACACCAGGCCCGGCCGCGCCGCCGGCGGAGGAGCGGCCGGCCGCCAGCTGACCCGTGTCTGGGCCCAGCCGGGCCGCGGGAACTGAGCCGGCGGCGGCGGCGGCCGGGCGTCGCCGGGTGGCAACGGTCGCGCTGTCGGCCTGTCTCCAGCTGACGTGACGGCTGTGACCTCCCGGCCCGACTGACGGCCGGTCCGGACGTGGCCCGTCGGCCCCCGCACACCGCCACCGACGGCTGTCGGCGCACAGCGGCGGCGGTTCGCTCACAGTGCAGCAATAACTGTTCGGCGCCCGGGCCGCCGGCTGCGGTGACTGGCCACTGCCGGGGCCTCCAGGCAGCGACGGCGGTGGCGGGCTGACGTGGCAGGCGGCTGACTAGTGCCGCTTGATCACCTGCAGCCGCTCCCTTCACTCGGGGGGGGGGGGGGGGGGGGTGGGAGGGTGGGGGAGGAGGGACCGCGTCAGTCACTCCTTTGCGTTTAGAAAGTCTCAGTAAACTGCGCCAATATCGCGTGAGTCGCGATCTCTCCCGGGATGAAGCTAGCACTAAAAACGAATGGGCTACAATTGTACTGCTTCTCTGAGTCTTTTTCATATTAGTTCAGGCTCGTTTTGAATTGTCTTCCCGCGCTCGGTGCACTTGTGCTTCTGCCCTTCAGCTGTGCTGCTCCTCCTGCGCGGCCTGGCGGTGTTACGTAACGTCAGCGTTCCACGTGGTCCCCACTGTACGACATCGGCTCATCATCGAGTCGCTGATGCAATCCATTGACGCCGGGTGGCCTGCCGTTTCCGAAAATGCCCGGTTGGGTGTGGCGCTGGGTGTGGCGGGACGGGTGTCTGTCCGTAGCTGAGTGGCACATGTGCGGCTAACAGCTGTCACCCGGCGCTGGCGGTCCGTAATGAACTACTGGTGACCCGGGCGCTCGGTCTGTCGCGTGGTGCGCGGCGCGCCCACCGCACTGGCGGGCCCGTCTCGCCGCCTGCCGCGAGGCTCTGGTTCACCGCTCCAGGCGTCTGGTGTTTTTCTCTCGTCTGCGCGCCGGCATCTGCGTGGGTGGGTGGGCCCGGTTAGGGTGCGTGCCGCGCCGACGTGGCGCCGCCGACGCCGGCCGGTGGCCGAGTCAGCGCCGGCCGTCTCCGCCTGACCATTTACAGCCGGGCGGGGCGCCACGACAGGCTCGTCGAGCGGCACCCGGCTGGCGCTATCGCCACTCTGGAATGCAGAGGCGCCGGCCGAGCGAAAGCCAGTTGCCAATGCGCGTCACGCGGCGACCGGCTGCCGGGCCACGTGGGCGGCGGCGGGCACAGTTTGCACCTCGACAGCCGGCTCTGCGTCGTGTCACGCGGCCGCCGCCGCCGCCGCCGCCGCGAGTGGTGGCTGGTCGGCGGGCGCTGGCGGCTGCTCCCGCGCCACGGTCGCCGACCGGCCAGGCCGGTTTTATTGATGTTGGATGTGAATCGCATGGTCCGGGGCGGAAATACCCGGCCAGCTGTCTGCGGTCGGAGCGGCACAGGCGCCGGTCCGTGGGATCGGGCAACCGCTTGTTCGCGGCTGGCTGCTGCTGTTGGCCCCGCGGACTGGGCATGCTGACCGGTCGTTTCTGTTTCAGGTCGCCAAAGCTCACAGAAGAAGACCAAGACAAAGCAGAAGATGCGCGAGCTTAATCGGCGCGCCGAGGGGAAGGAGGGTGGAGGAGACATGGACGCCTTTGTAGACAGTAAGCCGGTGGTGGAGCGTCCCCCGGTGCCGCCGGCAGCTGCCGCCAAACCAACCACTGCGCCGTCTCCGCCGGCTGCCAAGCCAGCGCCGGCCGCGGCTGCGCCTCCTCCCGCCAAGACTGCCCCTCCTCCCGCCAAGACTGCCCCTGCGCCTGCGACTCCCGCCCCGAAGCAGACGCCGGCGCCGCCGTCACCCGCTCCGAAAGAAACTCCCGCTGCGAAGCCAGCTGCTGCCCCAGCGGTCCCCGCCCCGAAACAGGCCCCGGTGGTGTCGGCTCCCGTGAAGTCGGCTCCCGAGCCGGTGACTGCCCCGAAGCAGGCTGAAGCTGCTCCCCCGGCTCCCAAGCAGGCGCCTGAAGCCGCGGCTCCCGCTGCAAAATCAGCGCCTGCTACGTCGGCCCCAGCCCCACCGAAGTCAGCACACGAGGCCCTGCCCTCTGCTTCATCCAAGCAGACGCCGGCGGCTCCTGCCCGTACTCAGAAAGAGCCCCCCGGGACTGTGGCGCCTGTAACCAAACCGACTCCTGAAACTGCGGTTCCTGTTCCGAAGTCGGTATCGCCGCCGGTTGCGCCGGCTCCCAAGCAGGCTTCTGCGGCTGAGGCTCCTGCGACAAAGCCGCCCGCTGCACCGCAAGCCACGGTGCCGGCTCCCACCACGAGGTGACCCCGGAGGTCGCGACTCCGACAGCAGCGACGACTGCCGCTCTCGCTGCAGCCCCCACATCCACCCCCGCTCCCACCCCGGTCGCCGCTCCGGCCTCCGCTCCCGCCCCCGTCTGGAAGGCTCAGTCGGCCGAAGGGCCGGCGCCCGTGGGAGCGTCTCCGACATCGGTCCCAGCGTCTACGCCGATCCCGACTCCGCCGCCGGCCGCCGAGCCCACGGCGGCGGAGGTAGCGCCCAAGCGGACAGGCGCCGACGCCGACGAACCGGACGCCGCCTGTCGAAAACCAAGCCACAGTCGGTGCCCACCGAGGTCAAGACGCAGGTGACGCTCGCCGAGCCTAAGCCGCAGTCGACGCCCACCGAGCCCAAGCCGCAGCCGACGCCCACCGAGCCCAAGTCGCAGTCGATGCCCGCCGAGATCAAGCCGCAGTCGACTTCCACCGAGCCTAAGCCGCAGTCGACGCCCACCGAGGTCAAGTCACAGTCGACGCCCACCGAGCCGAAGCCGGAGTCGACGCCCACCGAGCCGAAGCCGCAGTCGGACGCTCACCGGGACCACGCTGCAGTCGACTGCGCAGCCGGAACAGGAGCAGAAGCAGAAGCAGGAGGGGAGGCCAGGAGCAAGAGCTGGAGGAGGGCGAGATCGTGGACGGCGAGACGCCGGTTGTGAACGGCACAGCGGGCGAGGAGGAGGCGCTGGCCACGCCCCAGAAGACCAAATGGCAGCTGGAGGTCGAACGGATGAAAGGTGAGTCACTCGGTCGGCGCAAAGCGGCCGGCGGCGGCGACAGGTGCGCGCAGACCGTTCTTATGACTGACACGTGTGTGTGACTGATCGTCTGCGACCGGGTAATGTCGGGGTCGATGCTCCGTTGTCGAGACTCGGGCGTGCGAGCGCGGCGCAGCCGTCTGCGCCGCCACCGGTCGTCTGACGGCGTGTGCACTGTCCGCTCTCGGCAGAGGAGTCGCTGCTTATCGGCCACAAGATGCAGTACGACCGGGACGAGCTGCTCAAGCTGCAGGTGCACCCGCTGTCGCGACAGCGGCCCGACCAGCTGCCCGACCTGCCGTCGATCGTGCGTAAGGAGCGGCCTGCGGGTGACGCGCGCGCCTTCGCCGCCATCAAGTCGCGCAGCATGGGCCCGACCACCGGCATGCAGGACTACGCGCCCGGCTTCAAGCCGCTGCCGAACAAGGTGGGCAGCGACACGGGGCGTGGGGCGGCCGGGCCGGTGCCGACCCGAGCGCGGCGCCGAACCGACTCCACGGCCGGGCGGGTGTCTGGCCTCATCGGGGCAGACACTGAAGGCCGGACGAGTTCAACTGGGGCCATGGGAAATTGTCAAGGAGCTACCCATCTTGTCTTGGTCCGGCGATAAAGGCCTTTTCCTCATCTGAGCCACGGTAACCGCCACGCGGGTTGCAGTTCTTCGCTGATGACTATAGGCTTACTGGGTTTTTGCCCCTTCAGACTCTTGCTGTCTTGTGAAATGCTATGGTTATGTTTGAGACGTGATTTGGAGAAAGCCAGTTTGATTAAAGTAACATCCAGAGGAGCTGTGAATATTCGCTGTCAAAATTCTGCCCCGTGATGTTTTGAGGCATTAATTTGCCAGCTGCGTAATCAGGCTCGGTTTCTCCCTAGTATTGCATCATCACTAAAATGTGTCATACATCATTGTGGAAAAAATTATACGTTTGCATCCATTGATGCGGCAAACGTTAACTTATGACCGCGAAAAACGGCACGAAAGGAATATGTAATTTAAGCGGCTACGCCGTTCGTGAATCGAAGACTACTCATTCCTGTCCGATCCGCAGAAACCTAGTCCTCCGCAGAAACTCAGTCCGTCCCGACTGCTCAGCTGGCCAGGGCGCCTACCTTCCGATGCACCCACCCGTGGCGGGGGGGGGGGGGGGGGGGGGTTCGAGACGCTTCGTGTGCTCGACTGGCTGGACTGTATTTGTCCTTGACTGGGATGGCCGATGGTAGCGGCCGCGCCGAAGGTCAGGTGACGTCAGAGGGCAGGAGCGACGCTGCTGAACATTGAGGCACGTTAAGCTTTCGCCACCAGTTTTCTACCGTTGACCTGAAATTTCACGGGTCAGCTGGTAGCGATCAGGGCTCACGCAACAGGCAGTGCCTGGCGTGAGCTCTAATCCCAGAAGTCCACCCAGTCAAAGGAGGGTTGGTCTACATCTTTAAAGAATCTGTGGACTAAGCAGGTGATGTGACGCTAAACACGGTAGAGATGTGTCCAAATAACTGCACAACACTTGCCCAAGATATGGGCGCATTTCCGGAATATTCTGGGCACATGGATACATTATAAGTGCTGATACATTTACTTCGTGGCTGAAATCGCCGGGCGCACTGGCGTCCGTCGCCAGCCCATTTCAAGTAGTGCTGTCGAATAGTTGGGACATGGCGCCACGTCTTTGAAAAAACGGCACGTCCATGCGAGCCACAACCGTGGAAAGCCCGCATGCGGAACATCCATGGCAGACGGGCGTGACTCACGATAAGGTTGTTTGGATGGCTTTCAGAGATGTCCATTTCCAGTCGATTAGGAGCGGGTAGCTTCTATTTGATGTAGCAGCCTTCTGGCGCCGCCTTGCTCGTCCCGCGCCAAATAAGGCATATCGTTAGTTTTCATACAGGTGAACCACGAGCCCGCGGATTTAGAAATCGTGCCTTGGGAACATTGAGTAGACTAAATTTCCTTCAGATTTCGTGTTATAAGTAATTCCTGAACGAAAGATGTACGTGAAATTGAGTCGTTCATGGCAAGTATGCCCCACGCCGCTATTTGAGATGGTGTACTTTGTGGGTGATTATTTTCTTTAGGTATGTGGGCGTAGCACGCTCACTCATTGCTCATTGTCGTGCTGCGATATTTCAGATTATCTTTTAAGTTCACAAATGGTGACTGAAATTGGGGTATCGGCAGTTGGCAAGTTCTGCGAGTTGAACGCGGTGTGTGTGTCGGTGAACCACCCCTTCACGAGGCGGCGGCGGCGGCGGCTTCACGTGATGGCCGTCGGCCACAGCCGCCAGTGGAGTGTCGTGTGCCGGCGGGTGGCGCGGGCGCTCGGCTGACGGACGGTGGCGCCCCCTGCGACAGGGCTACCGCGGCGGACGCGGCTCGCAGCAGGGCCGGCGCGAGATGCAGCAGCAGGCCGGCCCCGGGCCTGGACCGCGCCGCATCGAATCAGCCTCAACCGCGACGTCAAGCTGCGCGAGACGGAGAACGCCTGGAAGGC